GACACAAAGGAAGGCAACTGAGCAAGATGTTAAAAAGAGACTGCGGGAGCAGATTTTGGCTGGCGACTTTCAACGTAGAAACAGCTTATGTCATTTAAGCAACACTGACCCTAATGCTATTTCAAAAAATCCCATGTCCTTTGGCCCAATGTGCAGTCCTTCCAATAATTTTGGACTTCAACCAATGTCTCATGAAGCAAACAGTGACTCAGCATGTGAAGGACAAGTCATTCATGAGAACTCCTCTGGTGAAATTGAACAACTACTTCACACACAGAGCTTTACTTGCTTCAGAGAGACCTCTACCCCACAGCAGGAGGTACTGAGCCCTACAGGCGTTGTGGCAAATTATACAGATCTTGAGCCCACTCAGTTATCTGCCAGCCAGCAACAGTGGATGACAGAAATTCAAAGTGCATTTGAAAGGCTCGACTTAGTCAGAGAAATATCTGATCAGATGTCAGCAGCTATGGAACAGAATAGCAATACTAGGAACAACCAGGCCATATCTGCAAAGGTCGATCCACCAAGCTCAACGTCGCCGCGCTTCCTCAAGCCATTTGCTTGTGACAACGAGAACTGCACATTTAGTTCCATGTCAAGTGAAGCCCTTTGGAAACATCTCTCCAAAACTCACAACTACACACTTGAGATGGTGAATGTGGTTAAAAAAAGGTATGGCCAATATGCTCCTTTCAAGTGTCAAAAATGTAGTAAAACATTCACTCGTAACTCAAACCTTCGCACGCACTACCAGTCAGCTCACAAACTATCAGCTGAAGAGATCGCAGATCTAGATAAGAAGCGTAGAGAGGCCAAAGTTGCTGCAACCGCTGCTATTCAAAACTGGCCTGTCACTACAAACCAGGCTCCAGCAGCAACAATCTTGCCCAAGGTTCCTACTCAACACGCAATTGGTCCACATGTTAGAACCTCTTTGCCCAGAGTGTCAGTTCCTCTTACCCAGGCACTGTCAGCCGCACCTCAGGCTAATGGGCCTCCGTCTCTTAACAAACAATGTGCTATCAACAGGCAGGCAATAGTTAAGCCAAGCATAGAGATTACCAAGAAGGCAAAAGAGAAGAAGCCCAGCTCAGATGATGCTATGAGTCCGTACAGACCATATCGCTGTGTTCATCATGGCTGTGAGGCAGCCTTCACCATTCAGCACAATCTGATCCTCCACTACCGGGCAGTTCACCAGTCTGCTCTGTCAGCATTGGAGGTGAACAAAGAGCAGGACCAGAGTGAGGTACTAGATGAAGTAATGGACCACGATGAGGAAGATCCAGAGGCAGAGATCCCCCAAATTTCTGAATTCAGATGCCAGGTCAAAGACTGCTCCCGAGTTTTCCAAGAAGTTCCCAGCCTTTTTCAGCATTATCTCCGGCTGCATGAATTCAGCCTTGATAAGGTTGGCAATCTGTTGTCTGGCATCAAGCTCGGCAAGTTTGCCTGTGGCCACCAAGGGTGCACTGCACCCTTCACTGCCTTCTGGAAGTATATAGGGCACGTCAAAGAACAGCATAAAGACATGAAGTTGGCCAAACCTGAACAATTAAATGGCTCATTTAAATGTGAGATCGAAGGCTGTGACCGTTCATATGCCACAAAGTCAAACATGCTCAGACATGTCATGAAAAAGCATCAGGATCTGTACCAGTCCAAACGGACTAAAGAAGACCGGATAAAACAAAACTCTAAAACTTTGCATTACCAAATTACCAAGATGAGTAATGGGAAGGAAAACATTGAGAGCAATAAAAAGATTCTACAGAGAGGAAGTGACACAAAGAGAGTCAACAAGGCAAAAAATAATCACTGGACTAAATATGGAAAACCTTCCTTGAAATCTAAAGTGGAGGCATCCTCAATGTGCACTAAGAAGTTTCCTCTACAGTACCCCTGCATGATTAAAGGTTGTGAATCAGTCATGAAATCTGAGCGGAGCATACTAAAACATTACATCGGACATGGACTGTCAGAAAAATACCTGGAACAGCAACGAAGTCATTTCATATTCTGTAAAAAGATCCCTAGGCAGAAGTGCCGCTCAATCAGGAGTGACGATTCCAAATCAGACAACACCTCTGACCTGTCAGACAACGAGCTGGCAGCAGACACCGACCTGGAAGGAGATCAATATGGAGATTCAAAGCCTGTCCTACGCAAAAGGGCTGCAGCAGGGATGCCTGCCACGTTGTTTGACAGCAAGTTGTCGAATGATGAAAGTTCTGATGGCTCTGTGGTGCTCAAACGCAAACGGGGACGTCCACGAAAACTGATAGACAAAATAGCGAAACGCAAGAAAATTCCACGAACAACAAAGACCGATGTAGTTTACAGTAGGGACGACGAGTCAGACTCCTCGTGCCCCGCAGTCGTGCAGGAGGAGACAACTGAGCAGAGTGCTCCGCTGGCCTCTTTTAAACCAATGGGGTTTGAAATGTCTTTCTTGAAGTTCCTAGAACAGTCAAATAAATGTGAACACCCCTTGACCAGGAAGGTGGATGCTTCAGAAACCTGCAGAAAAACACCCACTCCTAACGCCAAAGACACCTGTGTCAGGTTCAACAACCGTCAGAACCTGAAATCACTTAGTAAGGTTAAGATCATTATAGACAGGGCCTTTTCAGGTGTCACCGAGCGTATGTTGAAGCAGCTGCAGGACATGTGGCCCACAGTAGTGTTGGAGAAAAATGACTGAGTTGTCTTTTGTTGTTTTTGAAAAGGAGAATCTCAGGACTAGAATGAGTCAAATCTGCAGACTGGTGCCCTACATAGGAAATGTTTTTTTACACATCCGGTTGTTTAAAAAAAACAAACTTGTTTTCAATTATACTGTAATAATGTCTGTACAATTTTCTCTTTTTTAATAGAATAGTGTATAGCATGTTTTTATTTATGGACTATTGAGTCAAAAAGTTATCAGAAAATTTTGCTGAAAAATTGAAATATGACATCAGCTTTTGGTGTCTTAATTATCCCTGTGGGACTTGCAGACTAATGAACTATGGGTTGTATCGTTGTGTGTAGTTTGTGATTTGAAGGTGTTGATTATTGTGCGTTGTGTATATAGTTTGAAATCACTCACTGCCACCAGCAGTCTTACTATTAAACCGCTTTTTTACAACCAGTTTGACTTGTTTTTCATAATTTGCCATTTTGTTAGATTATGCTGCAGTTTAGGGATTCCTTTTATGATGTAAAGTTTGGAGCTGCTGCATGCACACTGAATGGAAATTGATTTGATTTGGAAGTATTTCAATTATTAAAAAACAAATGAGCTAGAACTAGAACATGGGTACCAGTATTTTGTTAGTCATTTTTCAAATTTCCCAATTTGCCCTGTGTCCAGGTGCTTAGCTTAGAATAAAGACGGAAGTTAAAATACTGTACACTGACCAACTCATTTAAAGCTAATGCTAATCAACACGTCGTAATATTTGTTTGATCCACATACAAAGTGTAAAAAGTTTTGTTGTAGAAAACAAATTACTACTGTCATACGCACTTCAGAGCAAGTTGTTCAAATCACAGGGTGTCTGGGCTCTTAAAATGTCTAAAATAGGATAATCTGAATTTTAGGCCTTAAAATGTCTTAAATGTGTTTTTAAGAAAAGTTTTTATTGATCATGCTATAACAACTACAAAATCGGGGTTCCCATCCTTGTAAACCTGTACATTTTTTCCAGTTTATTTTAATTTTTTTAAAATACACTTACAAATGAATACAGTTGCAAAAAATAGCCTGTGAATTTACATGTCCAATGTAAAATAACATGAAAAAACTAAATCATAAAATTACAATTTGCTTAAAGAAAATGTCCTTTTCACATAAAAAAGCTGTTAAGATTAAGATGTTAAATTAAAGTTTAATACATTTCTAAAATTATGTAAAAATGTGTGACAACAGTAAAATAAGTTTGTTTTGTTATTTTACAGTATTTACAGACACAGCTGCTAGTAGCTGTAGTGGAAAGATCAGTTTATCTGATTGACAGTTTCTCAAGATGTCTGCTGACCGTTGCATATTTATCTCCCCATACATATGAGAGCTAAACAGCAGTCTGATATCTGACATCCTGTCAAAATAATTGGTTTGGAAGTCTTCATCAAAAGTTTCATTGCAGTGTTCAATATTAAAACACATTTTCAAAAAATCACATGAAGAATGCAGGCATAGTGTAGGATATAACCATGAAACGGTGAAATAATCCAATACATGCACGACATTATGACAATATTCCAGCAAGATGAACAGCACAGAGAGTTTTGGCTGTCCAACAAAGATTTTGGAAAAGGGACATTTTGAAATAAAGCTACTGCAATGACACAAACTGACTACTAAAACTAAACAGTTTAGTTCAGTAAGAGTATTTGTAACATTAAAACAGTTTATTAGTTGAGATTCAGCAACCTTTTTCTGATATTATATCACTGTGGTTGAGGTTTGTTGAGGTTAAGGCACGAAAAAAACATTTGAAATTAAATGTTACAAATACTCTGTAAGCAGACTATCCAAATAAATTGACTTACAGTAAACCTTCTCGACTCATGGCTTACTGGTACATTCAATGAGCCATCGTTTACCTTTCACCTGTGCTTTTCCTGGTACAACAAGGCATAACAGTAGGTTTTTATGTTACTACTGCTAATCAATATTGCACTTCCATAAAGTTTGGGGTCTCATAAGAGACAGATTTAAAAGAAAAGAAGAAACAAATGGTCAAAATTGAAGAAACACAGGCTGAGATATCTTGGCCTTTAGTCCTTAGTTAGCCCAGTGCTGCTTGTCGACCGTTAAGTTTCAGTGTTGGCCCCCCCAAGTAAACTTGATGGAGTCTTAGATAAAATTATAAAATTAGACCTTCCTTACCTGGTAAACACACAAATGTATGAAAGCCCATTTCCACCAATATGATGAAAAAAAGGATTCTTTAAATCATTATAGTGAGATATATATCAAAAATATTGAGAAACTTTCTCATTATAATGAATTCCAGTTTTTTTCCATCACATTGGCAGAAAAGGGGCTTCCATTCAAATGCACAAAAAATTTAGCCTTTGTAGAAAATTTGCAATCTTCAAGCCCAACCTGAGATTAACCTGATGAAACATCACTGTGACATCATTAGAGTTGACAACTCTCCTCCAGAGCCACAAGACATACAAATGTATCACAAGCAACAGTGCTCCTCCTGATAAGTGAATGATCGTAATGGGGAGGGGAGGGGTGCTGAATGTGAGTGACAAATCAAAATAATGACATACTGTATGTTTCATTAATAATTAGAGTCTGTTCATACTAATAAATTATATGACATGTCGCCATAGCTTTTCTCAATTTAGGCCCAATTGGACATTTCAATCTTTTTCATAGCACAGTATTCACTGTGGTTTGACTGGTTTGACTGTGGTTTCATTCTGAGCTGGTAACATGAGTCAGTCGTCTAGGACTGGACTGGCAGGTTTTCAGCTGTGGATGCGGGCTGCGTGCCGCCATTTCCTGTGTTTACTGTAGCTTCAGACGAGGTAAACTTGTTGACAATGGAAACAGGTGGCGGGCAGTTGCTGTAAGGTTTCTCTTCCACAGGGGCGTATCGCCTGATGAAACATTTCCACAACTGCTTCCACACAATGTACATGAGCTCCACAAAATTCAGAGCGATACACAGAATGGAGGTGCAGCCCATGATGTAGAGGAAGATCTTCTTCTCTGTTGCTTTGGCAATGTAACAGTCCACAGTGTTGGGACAGGGACTCTGGCTACAGCGGAGCAGTGTGGGCATCTCAAAGCCGTTGTACAGGAAGTAGAAAGCAAGCAGGGAGCCCACCTCAAAGGCCGTCTTGAACACCAGGCTGACGACGTAGGTGCAGAACAGACCTCCGTCGATGCTCCCTTTGTCCTGGTACAGTTTACGCTTGTGCTTGGCCTCCCGGTGCTCCCTGTATGCCACGTGCAGGGCCACCAGCAGGGACGGGGTGGACACCACGATGAGCTGCAGAGCCCACAGGCGCACCTGCGAGATGGGGAAGAAGTGGTCGAAGCAGGCGTTCTCGCAGCCCGGCTGCTGGGTGTTGCACACAAAGTCCTTCTGCTCATCCTTCCACACCTGCTCGGCCGCCGCTACGTACACCAAGATCCTGAAGAGAAAGACCACGGAGAGCCAGATGCGCCCGATCACAGTAGAGTATTTATTCACCCCACTGAGGATGTTTTCCAAAAAGCCCCAGTTCATCTTCCTCAGTCTCCTGTCAGGGAATACACCAACAATTAAATATATACTAAATACAGCACAAGTGTTTTTACACACTTACTACACATGGCATACTTTATATACAATACTGATGGCCAGCTTTCCTGGAAGCCATTGATTTGCATTCAAATTCCCATCAGCACTGCAACATCACGGAGAAGGGCAGCATCAGGCCCCCAGTTTGGAATGGGAAAAGTTTTATTGACATCACGAAACAACTAGCCAATACAGTTAGAGATAGCAGAATGTATTGCTTTCTCATAGGCTGTGGTCACAGAGTATGATATATATGGCTACATTAGACTGTACATTTGAAGCAGCGGCTACCGAACAATTTTAGTTTCTTTTTTAACATGTTTGTTGTTCAAAAGTAGTTTGGGATCCGGCCCAACCGTTTCCACATTCCTTGCATTTATTGCACTATATTATGAAGGTAATTCGTCAGCTTTAACCTCTATGACAAAGGGAGCCTGTAATCCATCATTCTTTGGTAATGTCGTTTGTAGATTATAGAGAAGGTCTGCACTGTATTATCACACAGTAACATGATTTTATACCGTAGAGTGTGCACAATTTCAAAACATGCTACAGTTTCTTAAGGCTGTAGTCTAGAGCGGTGGTTCAAAGGGGTCATTTCTTGGGGTCGGCAAAGGGTTACAGAGAATAAAATAAAACAACATATTGTGGAAGCAGAAGTTTAATTCGATTTGAAGTCCTACACAGAACGCATTACTCTAAAACTAAACACACTCAGTTTCTCCTCTGTGTGACAGATGTGGTAGTGCTAGAGGATCACTGTCACACTTATTATGACCAGCAGTGTTGGGCTAGTTACTCAAAATGTATTACTCATTATTATTTGTTACTCTTTTCAATAGTAAAAAGTAAAGTAATATTATTACTGTATATTACTTTACTTATTACTCCCTGCCAATAGTAATGCATTTCAGTAGTAGTTATATTACTTTTCTGCTACTCCTCACAAAATTGGTAATTGGATCTTTTCTCCCCAAAATTCAACGACGATCAATCAAAATTAAAATTTTGTTTATTATTTCCAGAATTTCCATCCTCCAACCTAGTGTCCTCCATGACTACAAAAATGAATCTAAGGATGTGATTGGATTATTGTTTTTCAGATTAGTAGGGGGTGACAACTAAATTAACATTTTTTGGGGGGTAACTAATATTATTACTGAAAATCATTAGTAATCTACGGAAGCCGAGAACGGCCATGGATTTTTTTTTATTTTTTATGCACTGTTATATCATAACTGATCTCGTGATAACTAATTAATTAATAAT